ACACTAGGCGAATATATATTGGCCATTTGAGGTCATTTTAGCATGGTGGCCTAGTAAACTACATCTTGCAAAAGTTAGGCCACCATGGTAAAATGGCCAGGAAATGATCTAATATTCACCGTGTGTTTTCCAAGCCATTTTAGCCTGGTGGCCTAGAAAATTCCAATTGAGAAAGTTAGGCCACTATGCTAAAATGGCCTAGAAAACGCGCTATGTGAATGACGGACCATTTCCAGGCAATTTAAACATGGTGGCCGAGAAATCTCTAACTGCAGAAGTTAGGCCACCATGCTAACATCGCCGAAAAACCACACTAGGTGACTGTTAAATCATTTCTAGGCCATTTAGAATGGTGGCCTAACTTTCTCGACAGGACTTTTCTAGGCCATCGTGCTAAAATGACCTAGACACCTACTCAGTTGACTGTTAGACGATTTCTAGGCAAATTTAACATGGTGGCCTAGTAAACTACATCTTGCAAAAGTTAGGCCACCATGCTATAATGACCTAAAATGGACTGAAACGGTGAAGAAATGACTCAAAATGACTCTTTTCCTATCAACTCACTCGATAGGAAAGTGCCCATCTTCTTCAAGTTCGCCAACTGCTCATCCATCGCCTCGTCCCTCTTCTCCCTTTCATAAACCTCGTCCTCCTTCAACTGTGCCGCCAATTTCAGCCGATTCTCGAACTCATCATCCTCCAATTCCAGACAAACCTCCTGGAACTCGATGCGGACGTCACTAGGCAACGGAGATTGCTCAGTGAATCCCGATTTTTGGACCTCATGGACCACTTTAATCCATTTAATGATGTTAGAGAATTCCGTGAAAATCTCAGCGAAATTGAAGTCGAACGGGAGGCGGAACAGGAACTTATCCGCCGTCCAATTCCAGATTTTGTTAGCTTCCGCTTGCAACGTGGCAAATGCGGCTCTCGACTGACTCATCATCTCGTCATGGGTCTGGACAAGGATACACGGATTCAGCACACTGATGATCTTTTGTTCATTCATCAGAATATACAACATCTCCGTTGACATGCGCATCTGGCTGTCGAATCGCTCGAAATTGAACTTTTCGCCTTGCCAGAACATTCTATGGTTTCTCGCTAGCTCGATTTGCACTTCTACGAAGTCTGTGGCGGTGAGGATCAGGTGCTTCTTGCGGGGAACTTTTCGGGTGGACGGCTTTGGAAGGTGTTGGAATGTTCTGAAAAAAAAAAGTTGTGGAAGACTACAGTGACCTAAAGAATTCTATTTTTAGTGTTTTCCAGGGTTTTGAGCTCATTAACAGCTAGACTCCGCCCACTTTTCAGAAAGTGGGCGTGGCCCAGTTTTCTATCATTTTAAGCTCATTACCAGCTTTAAAACGAGACCAAACTCGACTAGGCTCCGCCCACTTTTCAGAAAGTGGGCGTGGTCTTGAAAATTCGAGATTGGGCGAAGCTTAAAACTAGCTCAAACTCGAATAGGCTCCGCCCACTTTGAAGAAAGTGGGCGTGGCTTAGTTTTCTGTTATTTTGAGCTCATTACCAGCAGCAAAACAAGTTCAAACCCGAATATGCTCCGCCCACTTTATAGAAAGTGGGCGTGGCCTAGTTTTCTATCATTTTAAGCTCATTACCAGCTTTTAAACTAGACCAAACTCGAATAGGCTCCGCCCACTTTGAAGAAAGTGGGCGTGGTCTTGAAAATTCGAGATTGGGCGAAGCTTAAAACTAGCTCAAACTCGAATAGGCTCCGCCCACTTTATAGAAAGTGGGCGTGGTCTTGAAAATTCGAGATTGGGCGAAGCTTAAAACTAGCTCAAACTCGAATAGGCTCCGCCCACTTTATAGAAAGTGGGCGTGGTCTTGAAAATTCGAGATTGGGCGAAGCTTAAAACTAGCTCAAACTCGAATAGGCTCCGCCCACTTCATAGAAAGTGGGCGTGGTCTTGAAAATTCGAGATTGGGCGAAGCTTAAAACTAGCTCAAACTCGAATAGGCTCCGCCCACTTTATAGAAAGTGGGCGTGGTCTTGAAAATTCGAGATTGGGCGAAGCTTAAAACTAGCTCAAACTCGAATAGGCTCCGCCCACTTTATAGAAAGTGGGCGTGGTCTTGAAAATTCGAGATTGGGCGAAGCTTAAAACTAGCTCAAACTCGAATAGGCTCCGCCCACTTTATAGAAAGTGGGCGTGGTCTTGAAAATTCGAGATTGGGCGAAGCTTAAAACTAGCTCAAACTCGAATAGGCTCCGCCCACTTTATAGAAAGTGGGCGTGGTCTTGAAAATTCGAGATTGGGCGAAGCTTAAAACTAGCTCAAACTCGAATAGGCTCCGCCCACTTCATAGAAAGTGGGCGTGGTCTTGAAAATTCGAGATTGGGCGAAGCTTAAAACTAGCTCAAACTCGAATAGGCTCCGCCCACTTCATAGAAAGTGGGCGTGGTCTTGAAAATTCGAGATTGGGCGAAGCTTAAAACTAGCTCAAACTCGAATAGGCTCCGCCCACTTTATAGAAAGTGGGCGTGGTCTTGAAAATTCGAGATTGGGCGAAGCTTAAAACTAGCTCAAACTCGAATAGGCTCCGCCCACTTTATAGAAAGTGGGCGTGGTCTTGAAAATTCGAGATTGGGCGAAGCTTAAAACTAGCTCAAACTCGAATAGGCTCCGCCCACTTTATAGAAAGTGGGCGTGGTCTTGAAAATTCAAGATTGGGCGAAGCTTAAAACTAGCTCAAACTCGAATAGGCTCCGCCCACTTCATAGAATGTGGGCGTGGCCTAGTTTTCTATCATTTTGAGCTCATTAACAGCTAGGCTCCGCCCACTTTATAGAAAGTGGGCGTGGTCTTGAAAATTCGAGATTGGGCGAAGCTTAAAACTAGCTCAAACTCGAATAGGCTCCGCCCACTTTATAGAAAGTGGGCGTGGTCTTGAAAATTCGAGATTGGGCGAAGCTTAAAACTAGCTCAAACTCGAATAGGCTCCGCCCACTTCATAGAAAGTGGGCGTGGTCTTGAAAATTCGAGATTGGGCGAAGCTTAAAACTAGCTCAAACTCGAACAGGCTCCGCCCACTTCATAGAAAGTGGGCGTGGTCTTGAAAATTCGAGATTGGGCGAAGCTTAAAACTAGCTCAAACTCGAATAGGCTCCGCCCACTTTATAGAAAGTGGGCGTGGTCTTGAAAATTCGAGATTGGGCGAAGCTTAAAACTAGCTCAAACTCGAATAGGCTCCGCCCACTTTGAAGAAAGTGGGCGTGGTCTTGAAAATTCGAGATTGGGCGAAGCTTAAAACTAGCTCAAACTCGAATAGGCTCCGCCCACTTTGAAGAAAGTGGGCGTGGTCTTGAAAATTCGAGATTGGGCGAAGCTTAAAACTAGCTCAAACTCGAATAGGCTCCGCCCACTTTATAGAAAGTGGGCGTGGTCTTGAAAATTCGAGATTGGGCGAAGCTTAAAACTAGCTCAAACTCGAATAGGCTCCGCCCACTTTATAGAAAGTGGGCGTGGTCTTGAAAATTCGAGATTGGGCGAAGCTTAA